CCAGCCCAGTCTGGCTTCCTCCTTCCCATTCTCTCAAAACTCCCCTAAACAGGGGTGCCTGGGTGGCTCAGTGGGTTAAGCCTCTGCCTTCGGCTCAGGTCATGATCTCAGGGTCCTGGGATCTAGCCCTGTATCCGGCTCTCTGCTCAGCGGGGCCTGCTCCCCCTGCTCTCTCTGCCTGCCTCTCTGCCTACTTGTGTTCTCTCTTTCTCTCTCTGTCAAATAAATAAATAAACAAAATCTTTAAAAAAAGAAAGAAACTTCCCTAAACTAGTTAAAGTGATCAATGAGTTCCATGTTGCCAAATCTAACAGACATTTTTCTGCTTGCTTAGCCTAGCAACAGCATTTGCCACAGTTGACCATTACTTCCTTGATATACTACCCTTTCTTAAATTCCAAGACACCATGTCTTTCCTTCTCTATTCAAAGTCTAAACATTGAAATACCCCAAGATTAGTCTTAAACCTTCTTCTAGGGCACCTGGGGGGCTCAGTTGGTTAAGCAACTGCCTTCAGCTCAGGTCACGAGCCTGCATGGGGCTCCCATCTCCATGGGGAGTCTGCTTCTCCCTCTGACCTTCTTGCCTCTCATGCTCCCTCTCACTGTCTCTCTCTAAAATAAATAAATAAAATCTTAAAAAAAAACCCAAAAACCTATTCTCCATTCACATTCTCTAGTTAGGTGAGTTTACCCATTTCTATTGTTTTAAATATTACTTATTTGTCAATGTCTCCCCAAATTTACAACTCTAATGCTGACCTCTCTCCTCTGAGATCTGGACTTGTATATCCAGTTGCCTACTAAAAATCTTACATTTGAATGTCTAGCAGGTATTTTAAACTTAACATGTTCAAAACAGCACTCTTGATTCCCCTTCCCCAAGCCAATATTTCCCTTAGTCTTTGTGCTCTCTCTAAATAAACAGCACCATTGTCCCCCGAGTAATAACTGAAACCAAATCTAAGTGTTATCTTTGAAGCCTCCTTTTCCTCATCTCCCATATTCATCTCCCATTTTTTTTTTGTAAGTCTTCACTTATCTACCCACAAAATACACCTTGACTCTGTCCACTTCTTTTTATCTCCACTGTCATCTACTAGTCTAAGCCATTCATTATCTCTTATCTGGACTACTATAACAGGCTTCTAATGGGTGAGAGTCATATTTTAAAAATAAGTATTAGATCAGGACACATCCCTGCTTAAAATGCTTTCATGAAAACTGACAAGCTGATTCTAAAATTTTAAAAGAGAATAAAGGGCTAAGAATAGCCCAGACAACTTTAAAGGAGAAAGGGGAAAGTAAAGTGAAGGAGGGCACTGACTTTACCAGTTATCGAAACCTACTGTTAACCCATAGTAGTTAAAAAAGCGTGATACTGGTGTAGGAATAGACAAACAGAACAGTGGAACAGAACAGAGGGCATACAAACAGATTTACAAAGGAACTTGGAATATAGCAGAGATACTATAAATAGGTTCTAAGGAAACTGGCTACCAGTATAAAAAATACAATTATATCAAATCACACATTGTATATAAAAATAAATTCCAGGGGACGCCTGGGTGGCTCAGTTGGTTAAGCAGCTGCCTTCGGCTCAGGTCATGATCCCAGCGTCCTGGGATCGAGTCCCACATCGGGCTCCTTGCTCGTCAGGGAGCCTGCTTCTCCCTCTGCCTCTGCCTGCCATTCTGTCTGCCTGTGCTCGCTCTCTCTCCCTCTCTCTCTCTGACAAATAAATAAATAAATAAAATCTTTTAAAAAAAATAAAAATAAAATAAAAAAAAAATAAATTCCAGGCTGATTAGACTTAAGGAAGAGCAAAGCAGCAGAAATTTTAGGGGGAAAAAAATTCATTAGTATAGGGAAAAACTTCAAAATTAAGACCAAAAAATCACAAATCATAAGGAAAAATAAACTTGACTACCTTAAGATGAAAATTTTCTGCATGACAAAGGATAATTTAAACATGGGGAAGGGTGCCTGGGTGGCTCAGATGGTTAAGCGTCTGCCTTCAGCTCAGGTCATGATCCCAGGGTCCTGGGATAGAGTCCCGCATCAGGTTCCCTGCTCTGCGGGGAGCCTGCTTCTCCCTCTCCCTCTACCGCTCCCTCTGCTTGTGCTCTTTCACTCTCTCTCTGTCAAATAAATAAATAAAATTTTTAACAACAACAACAAAAAACATGTATGGGAATTTTTTAGTACAGGGAAGTATGACAACCAACAAATATATAAAACAGTCTATAGGGCGCCGGGGTGGCTCAGTTGGTTAAGCGACTGCCTTCAGCTCAGGTCATGATCCTGGAGTCCCGGGATTGAGTACCGCATCAGGCTCCCAGCTCCACGGGGAGTCTGCTTTTCCCTCTGACCTTCTCCTCGCTCTCATGCTCTCTCTCACTCTCTCTCTCTCTCTGTGTGTGTGTCAAATAAATAAATAAATAAAATATTAAAAAAAAAACCCCAGTCTATAACCGCACCACAAGCTCACAAGAGTATCCCTTTGGACATTAAAAAGAAAGAAATGCTTTTTACTTAGCCAGAAAATTCCAACAGTAAAGTACAGAATAAAAGTGAAAGCTTTCTCCCCAAAGATGACCACTGTGTTTTACTTAATTTTATAATGCATATACCAGCTCATTAATTTAATTGAAAGTATCTGTTTTATTGATTAAAAAAAGCAAATTGCCAAATAATAGATATGCTCTTATACCTTAAAAAAAATACCTATGTGTGTATGTTCGTATAAGTAACGGAAAAGGTATGGAAAGAGGGAGAGGGAAGAACATATTTTTACTTTAGATAGTTCTGCATTGCTTGAATTGTCAGAATGAGCACAATTAATTTTGTTACTCCGACGACTGTAATAAAAGAAGGAAACAAAAACAAGCAAAAAATATCTGCCATGTGCCATTATAGCTGGAGAATGTAAGAAGTACATGCCCCACCCCCAACAGAAAAAACTGAATCAATATTCTTCTTTAAAAAAGCAAGAAAAGAACAAAAGTGTGTCAAATCAATAAAGCTTTTCTTAGCTAGCTTGTAAAATAAGAGAGCTCAAAGTAGTTTGCAAAAGAAAAAATAAACCTGGGATGCCTGGGTGGCTCAGTTGGTTGAGCAGCTGCCTTCGGCTTGGGTCGTGATCCCGGCGTTCTGGGATCAAGTCCCACATCAGGCTCCTTGCTCATCGGGGAGCCTGCTTCTCCCTCTGCCTCTGCCTGCCATTCTGTCTGCCTGTGCTTGCTCTCTCTCCCTCTCTCTCTCTGACAAATAAATAAATAAAATCTTTAAAAAAAAAAACAGAAAAAATAAACCTGAAATATCTGCATCAGTCTACTCATATACACACCACACCACTAACTTTGGTTGGGGCAGAAGGATTTCCAGAGGAAGGAAAGATTAATAACCTCTTTGTTCATTTATGTAATGTCTGTTATAGCATGCACTAGTTTTTATAAATTTTAAATAATAATTTTTAAACAAGATAAACCTGAATTATTTCATATTCCACAAATATGGAAGTAAGAAAGACAACTTTTTGTTATGGTTAGAGCACAGGCTCTGGACTCAAGAGTCCTGGGTTAATAAACCCTGGTCACTTTGGGCAGGAGACTGAAACTAATTTTAACATATCTGTAAAATAGGCACAATAACAACATCTGCTTTACAGGCTTGTTATGGGGATTAAATATTGCGGGGGAAGGGGGTGGGTGGGAGCATATAACTCAGGGCCTGGCATTAAAGATAGAGTAAATTTTGGGCGCCTGGGTGGCTCAGTGGGTTAAGCCTCTGCCTTCAGCTCAGGTCATGATCTCAGGGTCCTGGGATCTGCTTGGCAGGGAGCCTGCTTCCTCCCTCTCTTTCTGACTGCCTCTCTGCCTACTTGTGATCTCTCTCTCTGAAAGAGAGAGGCTTAACCCACTGAGCCACCCAGGCGCCCAAAATAAATACATTCTTAAAAAAAAAAAAAAGAGTAAATTTAATAAGGGTAAAAGCTGAACTAGGAATGCTGATAACTTTCCCAACAGGTCTACTCCTTAGACACTCAGAAAACAAGTTCTGGGGCGCTGGGGGGCTCAGTGGGTTAAGCCTCTGCCTTCGGCTTAGGTCATGATCTCAGGGTCCTGGGATCGAGTCCCGCATCGGGCTCTCTGCTCAGCAGGGAGCCTGCTTCCCTTCCTCTCTCTCTGCCTGCCTCTCTGCCTACTTGTGATCTCTGTCTGTCAAGTGAATAAATAAAATCTT